GCCCCAGCCACCACAGGCTTGTCCCCACCCCTCTGTAGTGTTCATCTAATATCCATGGGATAAAAGCATGTTTTTACCCAATAATTGCATGGTTCCTCAGTTAAAGAGTGTGTGTGTGTGTGTGTGTGTGTGTGTGTGTGTGTGTGTGTGTGTGTGTGTGTGTGTGTGTGTGTGTGTGTTTAAAAAGGTTTAGAAAAGTTTCTAATCAATCTGCAGGCAGTTTTGCACATGGATCACAAGTAATGTACAACCCACCCCCCCAGGCGGTTCCAGGCAGCATGGGCCTGCCAGTTCCTTTCCACCCAGTTACACACATGATCAAATGTCAAAAGTGTGTTCTTAGCACAGCTCTGAAAGGCAAATCTGCAGTCGGCCCCTTCCATGAGGGAGAGATGGCCAACATGCCTAATGGAGACACTTATATTGGCCTGAAATTTGTCATAGAAAGCCCCCAGATTAGTAAAAAAATATGTCATCTATAGAAAATGCCCTTCTGAAAAGCAACCAGGGCTCTGTTAAGGCCACACCCAGGCTTCAAATTCTGACTGCTGTAACAAGGCAGCCCAGGAACAGACTCAAGATGTTTGGTGTCCCAGCAGTGACTATTAGCACCCATGTGTCTACTTTGCAGCAGCCTGCTGCATCGGCACAGTGCTGAGGACAGAGGAACTTCTCTAGACCATGCTACTCGTTCAATAGGGGCCAGTTGGCACAGTGAAAATAAACTCGCATGCCCCAATTCTGCACAGGTGCACAAAGGAGAGCACCCCTCCCTGCAGGGCCCTGTCCCTTCCAAAGCATAACAGGGCGCAGAGGGAAGTGGGTCATGCCGAAGCAATTTCCAACACATCCGACATGCCCTTTTCCCACCCTGCAGCACCTTCCAATTTCTCTGCAAGTCTGTGGGGTACCAAGGGCGGGCCAGTGGCTGAGGGAAGAGTCCAGTTACTCCACACCCCAGAGGCAAGGTGGGGACAGAGCAGGCCCCACTGACAGGTGCTGGGAGACCTGCCGCCGTGGCAGAGTTAAGGCAGTCACTGGTATGTGCCTCCAGCGAACCCCACCTTCTGCATGGGAAACGTTGCAGTCTGGCACAAAGGCCTCCGGCCAAGGTTCTTCCCAGGACTCCTCTTCTGCAGAAGGTCATGGGCAGGGGCAGGATTTTGGGAGAAGTGGCACATGACAGGATTTGCTAGAACTCTTCCTGTTGCCCCTGGCACCCAGCAGGCAGCCCTATCTGCCTGGGGCAGTGCGCAGGAATGAGTCTCCAATGCGTTCCATTCTTTTCAGACTCTGCCGGGGGTGGGAAGCGAAGTCAGAACCCAACAGTCAAACCCTGAAGGACACTGGGAAGAAAAGCAAAGCAAGTGGTTAGTTCTGGGCCTGAGGGAGCCTTTGGGCACAGATCTGAGAACAATGGTCAGGAAAATGGAGAAGCAGGCAGCAAGAGACTGACTCATCCAGAGACCCACACATTCCAAGGATACTTGGCAGGGCAGAAGCCCACCCAGCTGCCCTCTTCACACTGGGCGCAGAAGGAGGAAAGGGAAA